GAGAGATTATGAGAAAGAGGCAGGATGAGAGCAGAGGAAGGAGGAAGGCAGGGGCTTGGCGCTGGTATGAAAGCACCAGGTTGAGGAAAGAAGCTCCATCTCCGCAGAGAACAGCAATCACGAATGCAGTCTTCCTGGCCAGTGGATAAGGGGCTGGTTTTAATTTGCATAGCGTTAATTAGCAAGAGTGTCTAATTAGGACAACCATTACAGAGCCACAGTACTAAGCTGATGCTGAATGTCAATCAATTTTGGAGCCTCTCCATGAAATTGAAGGAAAAGTTGACCTTATTAAACTGAAAAGATTTCTAAATCAATTATTTCCCAAGTCGAATGCACAAAACGTAAATCTTAATTCAGTAGATACAGACTTTAGATGATATTACCTCTTCCCCTTTGGGGGTTCCAGCCAGTGACAAAGATCATGAATGGATCACATATGTACACACACACACACGCACGCACATACACACACACGCACATGCACACACACACACACACACATGCACACACACACACATACTTTGGGGAAGGCACCTGCACATCTCTACCTGATATTTAACTTCTGTTCAATGCCCCTCTAGGACTCTGCCTGCATGGTTTTCTGTTATTTTCAAATGTTCCAAACAATATAATACATTTAGAACTTCAAAGTCTCTGGAAAATCTACCGTAATCATTACAATTCTGGCTTGTCTTTGGAAGCTACAGGGTGGCTGGGAGAGCAATTTATATGGCTGGCTCAGAAGCTGGGAACACACTCCATCACAGTCTGCACAGCCTTGGGGGAGGAAGGGCTAGAGCAGTTCTGAGAAGCCTCACTGAAGAAATTGGAGGCTGGAAAGGCCTGACCAGCCGGGCAGGTGGGGTGTTGGTGCACAGGCAGGGCACAGAACCTGGAAGGAGATGATCTGGAGTAAATCCTGGCTTCTTCAATCCTGACTTGGCCATTTGTTGGCCATGTCCTTGGACAAATTAGGTAACTTCTTGGTGCCTCAGTTTCCTCCTCTGTAAGAGTGGGTTGACGATGTCCACCTTGCATGGTAGGCCCCTACAGTAGTGCTTTATAACGGATTGTTGTCGTCAACAAGTCACAGATCTGTGAAGGGCTGGCTCATGGCTTGGAGCAGAACAGGACCACGTGGATAGGGGCATCTTGCAGGAATGTGGTGCACCCTCCTTCCCAGCTAGGAATCCCCTCTACAGCACCCCTGATGGCTGTAGCCAGCCTCTACTAAGATGACAGGAACTCACTATCTCACTTGGGAGCCTAGTTCATTTTGAAGGCAGCGGGGAAGCGTGGTATATAGAAAAATCTGATATATAGCTGAAGTCTTGGCTAGCTGTATGACCTTGGAAAAGTCACTTTGTCTCTGTGACCCTCAGTTTTGTCTTGTTTTGTTTTTAAAACAGTAAAATGGAGACATTATGACCTCATCTTAATAAATGTTAGGTAAAAATAAAAGTAGTAGTTTCAAGAAGCACTTATTAAGCACCTGTTGTACTCAGATCATCAGAGGTAATACAACTGAGTACCCCGACACTTTATAGAATGACACTATATATTTGCAGTCTTTTTTACATTAAAAAAGTAAAAACTTAAAAAATAATTGGAAATATACCATATTTACAGTTTTGGGGTCTGGGTTTTTGACTTGATATTATATCATGAACCTTTCCTGATATCTGCAAATATTCTCTGCGAGTGGCTTTAAGTGGCAACATAGTGTTCCATCACTGGCTATTCTCCAATTTACTTACCCACTCTAATAGTTTGGGGCATTTAGGAATAAATGGCTTAAAAAAAACAACTCTCATCTGTTGGGATATAATTCTTAAGCATTCCTGTGTATTAAGGATATTACTCTATTGAAAAAGTCTGAGTTGCAGGGGAGAAATGTTGACCAGTTGACCACAGGACTCCCGTCCAGCCCTATGAGTCCCTTTGGCCCTTGGATAGCAGTGAGTGGGGGCTGAGCAGGTGTGTGTACATACACACATGTGGTGTACAGCAGCTAATTAGCTAGCCCTGAGTTGCTGCCATCACCCAAAGAACCATATCAATTTCAAGCTTCACTGGAGTTCAGACAGCAAAGAAAAGATCATAATTCAACAATTTTTTTCATAATTCAACATTTTAACAAACAGAAAACATTTCTAATCCAGCCAGACTTCTTTGAGGTATTTTCCTGCTATTAAAAATGGTTGATGGTTTATTTTTTATTGACATGTGATTTTGATAGAGAATGCAAGGAAATCTGTGAAGTAATGAGCATTCCCACCGATCCAGTGCACATTCGTCTCCCTATGGGGCTGGGACTGGCCGATGAGGTTTCACTGACCAAAACCAAGAAGCAGGTGGAGTTGACTCTTATGTAAAAGGCTCTGAGCTTTAGAACAAAAGGAAGAAGCTCAAAGGAGAGGAGACAGCATCTGGCCCCTTTTCCTTCACCTCTTCCTCTAAAAATGATGGAAATAGACTTGGATTCCGATTTCAGTTACTCTCTGCCAAAAGAAACAAATCAGAGTTTGAAATGTGCAGCCGATCCCAAATCCTTCCCTGGGGAGGCATGATGCTCCCCAGATGTCAGACCCCTTTGAGAAGAAAGTTATGGTCATTTCTGGCTCGAAAACATCATGATCTGTCCCCAGTTGATCCCTATAGGGAGGTAGTCTTGTCCTAAAAATCTGAGTGTCCCTGAATTCACCACCTGCTCTCTTCAGCCCCAGTAGGTCTTGTGCTTTGGGTGGTGTTTCAGGCATCCAATAGTGCTTTCGAAGAGTGGAACCTTCCTGAGGGCTGGAACTGTGTTCTGTTTTCCTTTGGGCCCTTAACTGGAGCAGCAGAATAACCCCCAAGGCACCTCTGTGCGTGTGCACTGAGTAAATGATTGCAGGCTGCTCTTCATTAAGTGTAGAACATGCAAGAGGCTAAATGGAAAGCGGATTATGCTTAGACCATCGTCTCTGGGCAAGGCAGAGTGGAGAATTTTCCCCACAGCTGGATGATCCTGTACAGTGTAGGAAGCTGGGGTTTGTGTATAAGCCAGAGTGGAAACTTCTGGTGGGCAGGGGCCCTCTATAAATATCCTGCAGTATCTAGCACACTGTTGGACATCTAGCAGGTGCTCAAGAAATGAGAAGTTGTTGAAATCGTCATGAAAGAAAGAAAGAATGAATGAGCTCCTTCATTAGTTCTCCCTTGGGTCCCAGCACTAGCTCGTGTCTGGCACAGAGTGGGCCCCAAAACTATATCAAATAAATGAATGGTAGATTGGCAGACACCAGGGAGAGCTGCTTTCTTTCCATCTCAGCCTGCAGAGGGTGGTTGAGAACAGGGACGTGGGCATCTGGGAGTCCTGGGTTTAAGTCCAAGCCCTCCACTGACTCTAAGTGGCTGCCATATTGGACACGCCCCCTAGCGCTGGAGATCTCAGCCACCTCTCCCTCTGTCTCTGAAAGCTTGCTTTCTTGGACAGTGATGTCTCCCTCCCTAGCTCTATTGTAGGTTTCACGTGGTAATTAATCATATCCCACCTTCGAAACACCTTCCATTATCATCTTAAGTAGTCATTTGGGTCTGTGTAAATGGGCACTTCTTACATTTTTACTGTTTCCCATTGAGAGTGGGCCTGAGGGCTTGCGGGCAGTGCTCTGGGCTGGGAGTCAGGCTGAGAGTCAGAGGTCTTGGCTTTGAACTCTGGCATGAGCCACTCACCTCTCTGAGCCTCTGCCTGTAATATCTATAAAGCTGGGCCAGAGGCCAAGGGCTGTCTCAAGGGTGGATGAGAACAAGATGTGAAACCACCTTGTAAACTGTAAGGTGCTTTGCAGACATCAGGCATGTTATGATTCTGGAGCATGGGGGCTGTTTCTCATGTGGCGTACCTCTCTCAGGATGCGTGAGGCCACAACACAGTGCTTGGAAGTACTGCCTGGTTTTCTGCTGCCTTTGCTCAGGGCTGTGTTCCTGCCTTCCTTTGGGACTGGGGGCTGCCTCTACTCCCTGGCTTCCAAATGCCCAGAGGCACCAGCCCTGTAGAGGAGGTGAGGTAGATGATGGTAGCCAGCCCTCACAGGGCCTGGCACTGGGCTAGGCACTTTACATAGACAAATGCCTTTATTTTCACAGCAGCCCTGAGAGGTAGGTACTGATGTTATCCCCATCTGACGCCTGAGGCAATTGAGCACAGAGAGATGGAGTGAGCAGCCTGAGGTTACCGTGGCTAGTAAGCGGCTACGTCAGGGTTTGGATTCTGTGGGCTGGTCCCAGAGCTCTTGCTGCTAACCACGTGGGTCCCCTAAGCTGCCCTGGGGCTGGAGGACTGCAGTGAAGGCAGGTGGCCCACACTGCCTCCCCCAGCCTCAGCTGGAGGGACCCTCAGGGCCCTTCTCCTGCTCAGGACCCCTCTCTGCTCCTGTGCTCGGGCCCCCTTCTCTTTCCAGTAGCTCCTCTGCCACCCTCGCTTCCCTCCCCGCCTTTGGCCCTAAAACGGAGATGAGAGCTGCTGCCAGGACATTCTCATTCATTCCTGAAAGAACTCTGCATTGTCAGAGATGGAAGGGACCTCGGAATCCTCTGGTTCAGGTTTGTTAAGAGAAAAGAGAAGCTCAAGCTGGCACAGTATTGATGCCCAAACCATATAACAGCAGCCTAGAAAAGAATTATGTTCATATGACTTCTGAGCATGGAGGCAAATATTCTAAACAACACACCAGCAAACTGAATCTAGGCATGTATAACAAACAGAATACATCACGCCCAAGCAGGGTTCATCGCAGGAATGCAAATATAATTTAACCCTCAGCTGCTGAGACGGAGCCGGCCCAGGGCCCAGCCCAAGGTACTTTCGGGGCTCAGGCTACCTTTGTGCTGTATCCCGCTCCCAGGAGGCGCTGGTGACAGTCTTTCCTTTGCCTTCACTGCCCCTCACCCCCACCCCTTAACACAGCCTCAGAGTAAAATGAGATGCTCCATCCCGGATTTCCCTAATCCTCTCTTTGCCCTGAAATGCCTTATCAGTCTGTCCACCATCATCCTTTTGGGTTTGATCATCGCCTATCACACACGTGAAGTCCAGGTAGGTGCCCTCGCCCACACCCCTTCATGCAGGGGCTATTCCTTTGCTCCAGGCTGAGCCCGTCCCCCCTCCCAAACCTACCCTTTCAGTAGCTACTTGGGTGATTTCAGCAAAAGGTATCTGAGATTGTGGATCTTCTCTTTTGGTTTGGACCCTCGTGGGAGAGGGAATTGTGAGGCTGCCCTGTGGCTTTAGAACAACCGTGACATTATCTTCAAGTGGGGATCCCAGAGGCAAACACGACTTCATGATTTGGGGGGCAGTCCTGCTTAGAATTTTCATTTTGCAGCATTCTACTGTGAGACTTGCTTTGCCCTTTCTATCTCTTGCTGGATCCTTTCTGAACTTGAGCCACTGAGTCCCCCAGGTGAAACAGACCTGCCTCCTGTGCCCCTGCATACACACACACACACACACACACACACACACACACACACACACACTGCACCAGATACCACCGGGAATCTGTATTTCTGACTGGTGTAGACTTTACTCCCACTGGACTCTGCCAGGGAGGAGACATTTTCTAGATAGAATAGAATCTGCTGTCGTTGAAGGGGCCTCTGTTTCTTGCTGCCCAGGAGTCACTTGGCACCCAGAGAGATATTGGCTTAACCTCTGGGGTGCACTCCAGTTTGGCTGATGTAGGGAGGATGGTTCGACCTGGGCTGGGAAGGGCAGGCAGGAGTGAGCAGATCTGTAGCATCTTCTCATGACAATGGGTCTCCCTCTCACTGGGCCCTTCGGGCTGACCTGCTCTGCTGGGGCCCTGGGTAGTTCTAAAGTATCCAGATGTTTTTTCTCACATGCATACGCATCTAAATATAACTCCCGTCATTTGGCTGGAGGAGCACAGATAGATCCACATCTGGGCAGCAGGCAAGAAATTGACAAAGACCAGAACTCAGAGTCAGAAAAGCTGGGGCTGAGTCTCGCCCATGACCTCTTCTTACAGCGTGTCTTTGGCCAGCCCTGAGACCTTTCTGGACTGGAACATGTGAACTTTTCCTCGTCTGGAACATGGGGGGTTTTATTCTGCCATTTATGGGTCGTTGTGAGGATGAATGGGGAGTGTATGAGAGAACTCTGTAAACTGTAAAACACTTCAAATCTCATCGCTTTTGTCATTCAGCATTTCTGGGCTGAGCGGATGCACAGGCAGAGACGGGCCGGTGCCTCCTGCTCCTGCAGGGGTTCTGCTTTGCTGCTGGGTGTCAGGGACCTCTGCGGCTGGCCTGGGCGTGGGAGCCCTGGCTCCAGGCCACCTTACCTCCACTCTGTTGATGACCAGAGGACACTAATCTAGAAGGTGGGGACTCTTTAATCTGTGGGGGAGTCACAGGTGCGGGGAGGCTGAGAGTCCCAGACACCACCAAGCAGCTTCCTTCGTGGGGTCTGACCTGGGCAACGCAGGTGGGCTTTAACCCAGACCGTGGTCCAGTCAACCCCAGAAAGGAGCCAGGAGTACAGGCAGGAGGAACGGGCCAGGATCAGAGACAGGACCATGAGTCACAGTCGGGGCTCCAGGCTGGGTTCACCCCACCCCAAACCAGCTGTGGGACCCATGAATCTCCTCAACTTCTCTGAGCCCCTGAACCCTCATCTAGAGGGCGTCTATGCTACTATGTATCACCTTGACCTGTGCAGAGGGGTTGCACAGGCCAGAGAAAAAGGCAGAGTCATGAAGTCATCTGTGATCCAGGCTTGAGGGAGGGGAGAGGAGCTGATCTCAGCCTCACACCCGCACTTGGCCTGACTGCTGCTGCTTTCCACTCCAGGCATTGGGATGGAAAGAGCCAGGCATCCCTCCCTCTGATTCTCTTGGGGTCCTGCCCCACCTTCCCCCAGGGCTTGCAGCCTTGGCTCTCAGACCTGATCCCACCCAACTGCAGTTGTGACCTCAGTTCTGGCCTGGTGGCAGGGCCGTGATGCTGATAGGCTAGCACCTCACTGGGCACACTTTGTCCATCCTCAGCTCATAGCCAGTCTCTGCTTCACCCTAATTATGAGCAGCAGAGGATGCTTTTCAGTCACTTGTCTTGGCCTGACACTCACAGTTTGGAGAAACAAAATGAAGTCAGTGACATTAAATCCTGGCTCAGACACTTCAGCCTGAATGACCTTGAGCCAATAACAACTTCTCTGGGCCTTGTCGGTTTCCACATCTGAAGTATGGAAGTCATATCACTCACCTTGCTGAGCTCATAAGCAGGGGGGTAACAGTTGACAGTGCACAGTGGGCCTTTATGAAATGGAAGCTGGTCTCTTTCCTGTGACCTCTGTCCCACTGCTTCCAGCTGGACCTCGTCCATGTACAAGCTGTGCCCACCAGATGGTCACTGTCACAACTGCCCAGTACTGGCAGGTGGTTGGACTTCCTCCCTGCTCTGGCCCGGCCCTTCCTGCATTCTCAGCTCCCACCGCCCAGCCCCTTATCCTGCCTGGCCCATTGTCACGTGGGGAGTCACCAGAACCTGGCTCCCTCTGTGCCTCTTACCTGTCCAGTGAAGTTCTTTCTTCTGGAAAGGTCTAGTGGGACTGTCTCCTGCCAGAGGGAAATGGGAACAGTTTGGGCCCAGACAGTCAGCAGGACCCTTGTATGCACTCACCTGACCATATTGTGATTTTCTGTTCTGTATCCTTTTCCCCACCCTCAGGGACAATGATGCTGTTAATCTTTTTTTTTTTTTTTTTTTGGTGGTGCGTGGGCCTCTCACTGCCGTGGCCTCTCCCACCGCGGAGCACAGGCTCCGGACGCGCAGGCTTAGCGACCATGGCTCCCGGGCCCAGCCGCTCCACGGCATTTGGGATCCTCCCAGACCGGGGCACGAACCCGCGTCCCCTGCATCGGCAGGCGGACTCTCAACCACTGCGCCACCAGGGAAACCCGCTGTTAATCTGTATTTCCAGGGACCCATGGTGTCTGACAGAGAGCAGGTGTCTGCAGGGCATATTTTGAATGAAAGAGTGCTGGATTCAAGCTATCTGGTTTCCAAAGCCTTTTAGACCATGACTCAGCTCTGTAGTCTTGGGCCTCAAGTTTCCACATCTGTTCACTGGGGATCCTAAGCACCTATCCCGCCCCCCCCCCCCCACTCC